CATGAAAACTAGTTTGTGGCAAAGCTGTTATTAATGTTACAAAAGCCCAACTTCCAGAGGTTTTTAGTATATCAATCATGGTTTCAGCCCCCTTGTCGTCTTAAATCTTTGCATTTCTTTCAACTCTCAAATGATTCTCTGTTAAATTTCATTCGTTTTTTAGTTCTACAAATTGCTTCAACCAACACTTCTGGTTTGAAACGTCTTTAAAGATCGGTTCCCTTCTTTTCATTTATGAAAATGAAAATGCTAATACCTATTTGAGTAGAAAGTAGACGTGTTCTAATGACTTGGAAAAATACAAATTTGTCTCACATGTTCATAATTAATCCATATTAGCTAAATAAGATGAGAAATATCAGCAGAATTCCAATGAGTGACCGATGAAGAAAGGTCAAAAAATATTTTATGTTTATCCACTCTGTACATACATGGACATTTATGATTGGTTAATTATATATGCAATATGAACATAATCCATCTGCTAGCCTCGTTTTGTTGAAATAATTGCTTGCCTTGTTGTGCACCCCCACAAACCCCCCTATGCAGTAGGTGAAAAATGAAAAAAAAAATATAGTAAAAGGCAAAATGGAAGAACGAGAAAAGAGGTCATTCTGATGACTTGAGGAAGAGGAAGAAAGTCTCTGAAATACCATGTTCCTTAATCACCGGTAGCATATTGTTTACATATTCTACCGTTACTCTCACAATAGAGACTAATATTAGAGACTAATAACCTTCCTTAATAAACCATTTAGTTTATCCAATCATGAATCTCGTATCATTTGGTTTAAAAGGATGGTGAATGCAATTGGCGGCCTCCATTGAATTATCGATAAAAATCGCAGTTTCGCACCAACCCCCTTTTCGATGTAAACCTTGACAGAATTTACTATCACGTATACTTAATATTTACAAAAACATTCAGAGCATTCTAACACTCCCTTCCATCTTAAGCAAAAGCATGGTATGTTAATGGCGAAATAGACTGTTTTCATATATTAAAGTCTGAAATCAAACCCCCAAAATAGCGCATCTGTCCCTTTAAAAGGATTGTAAAGAATGTTTTTAAAGATATCTGAATAAAACTTGGTTTGCATTTGGATCTAAGACTTGACATAAAACTATACAACTATGTTCTATATCCAGAAGAAAATTGATTCTACAACTCATAACAGATGTAAGATTTTCATTTAGCAAAACTGTAATTTCGGAGATTATACCAAAAGCAAATATACAGTCATTAGAGGGGAGGGGACTATGCTACATTTTTATTATTACAACCGTCGTAAATCATACCTGAATATATGTCGAAAATATGCTACTTACGACTATGTATCTTCCTTACAGGCCCGTAGTCAAGGGGGTGCTTGAGGGCAAATTTTCTAAGCGACACACCTCAGACCCTATATGAAAAATCTTGAACCTTAATTTCATCGGGAAATGTCTAAGCAGTATACCACAGACCGTATACAAATATTTGGAACCTTCAATTTGCTGGGAAATATATGGAAATCGCGTTTCCAGGCGTCTAATTCTCAACATTTTCTATGCAAGATCCCTCAGACTCAATATAAATAATACTGAATTTTAAATTCTCCAAATTTTCTTGTGGTGGTCCCACAGTTCCTATTCAAATATACTTTAAATTCGCCAGGAAATGAAGGCAGCTTACACAAGTTTTGGTTTTGGGTTTCATAAAGGCTGGATATTTTTAGTTGCAATTCATAGAATACTTACATATTTCTCTAAAGTTATGCATTACCTTTGCTTAAATCCGCTTCTATGGAATGAACCTTTTAGGCAACATCTGTTCAGTGGGATGCTTTGCATTTATATTTACTAAAAATGTGTGATCTAATCTCGTATTCGACAGTGTATCAACGAATAACGTCATTGCTAACGTTACAACCATGAATAACTTTTTATGTTCCGTACTGTTGTTCTTCGTAACAGCATTGATTCTTATTGATGCCGGTAAATAGTCATACTTATTATGATAAAATTGTTTGATGTATTCTCCTCTGAATCCAAATTCAAGATCTTTGTAAACTTTAAGTTAAGAGTAGAATGTTTTACTTCACGTTTTACTATACTATGGGTGACCAGTAAGCTATTTAAAGATCTTTCGTTTCACATTTCACATATTAGCTCCCTCGTTTCGATTCTCTAACCACACCGACACCAAGCTAATATTGACAAGCTTTTGAATGTAGATTAATTGTTGTCCTATCAATGTTCCCTTCAACATTTCGGTAAGTATAACATCAGATTAGTTATAACCATCATATTGACTAGATGATTCAGGTTGTGAACAATGATGATTTTTGTGATGAAAGATTATGAGAAAGAGTGGGTTGATTAAGTACATTGTTTCACCAAATCGCCTAATGAAGACGGGCATCTTCACGCAGTGTGCAATGTGGAAATTTTGTCAATACAGTGGCATAAGCCTCGGGCCTACTCCTTTTCGATTTCTAACTGTCGGAGGATGTCCAACGTGCGCAGTCTGTAGCAAAAGGAGCAATGACAGCCTCTCCAGCCAACATCATAGACAAAGGGAAACCGGATTGCAAAATCCGAAAGTATTATCTTGATATATGCCGGGATTGAACTATGGACTGTCAGGTAAGTGAGCAAAGGTTTAACCCATTGAGTGAGCACGGCTCCGCTGAAGTGACACTGCTTCGATGCGATGTTTCATTACTCAACTCATAAAAGCAAATAATATTATTATTACTGCCAGAAAACATTTCACATATCACAAAAATAAAATAAATGTTAAAAGAGATGAAAGCACTAGGACTAGACATGTAAAAGTATCAAATGAAAATGCCTACAATATTATAAAAATAGAACATTTTGTAAAGAATGTGTAAATATATACAATAGAAAAAAAACAGCTACAAAATGTTTTGTAAAATATCCAAGATTTTTTTTCTTGATAGTGTTCAATTGAATAACAAAGACGGAAATTTGCACAAGGATAGCCACTTAGGTTTGTTAGTCTTGTATTAGAATAGACTCTTTATTGTTTCTTATGCTTTCAGAATAAAACAAACATAACGGATACAGGCGAACAGTGAATGTAAATGTTTTAGATCGGACCCAGAGGGCAGAAATGTTTTTGATAGACGATATCTACTTAATTGTTATATTATTAATATAAATTCTGCAATCTATAGTAAAATTTTACAAGTAAAACATCCTGAACATCTGATCGAATTGCAGATCTTGGTGTGTCGTTTTTCAATTTTATGGTGGAGTTCAGTAGCTACAGAAAAACACAAAAGAAAGATGTTATTGTTCTGCATTTTCATCAAATTTGGAAACTAAAACATTATACTTTAAAAACAGGAGATAATTAGCTTAAATATATATAATAATAAAAATATATTCCTAATGAGACAATAAAACACTCTTATGGATATACTACTCCTTTCTTTAATTTTAGCAACGTTTCAATTCAAATTGCAGGAATCTTTATCAAGCTAAAATAATGCGAATTGAAACTTTGCTTAAAGGGTCGAATATTTTTAGTAGTTTTATTTTCTGATGTTACGTCTACTTCTTCTTCTAGATGAAGATTAAATCATATTCAAGTATGAAATACACTGAAAACATATCAAAAGGGAGAGTATGTATCAATTTCATGTTACCTATTGGCCACATATATATTAATTTCTGTTAAATTGTAAAAAACATTTTGATTTTCTATTAAAGTTAGTAGAGCGATTAAGCCTTGTTTTATGAATTTTAAAAACTTATAAATTTGAAAAAAAAGTTTGGTTTAAAATTTAGTTTAGTTATATTTCAACATAGGCCAAGTAAACCAGCACATACCCTCTACACAAAGACCTTTAAAATCATAAAACTTAATAAAGCATCAGAGTTTTAGAAGCGTAGAACACAAATAACAAAAACATAAAGAAAATATTACAGTACCGTATAACTCACTTCTTTAATAACAAAGTACATAACATTTCAACACAATTTACACGTGTAATCATCAGATTACTTTGTTATTAAAGAAGTACTATACTATATTCCCTTGTGTGTTCTGTTAATAAAGCATCATTTGGGACTATATTTGTACATATGATAAGAATTATGGGATAAATAGTAAAATAAATGTACAGATATTTTCCATTTACTACTTGTAACATATATAACTGTTATTTCAACTATTGTCTGTAGTTGCATCTAGTCGCAAAATCTAGCAGAATCAATTTGTTACTTGTAATGTTCAGGGGGGTAGACTATGAGAATCTAGGGGTCCAGATGAGACTAGCCAAGCAAGCCAACAACAACAAATCTTTGTAATTTGGGGCATTGTGAAATTATTTCGTCATAGGTTTGCAAATGTTAGAATAAAACACTTGCTGAAGCCAAATATGAACTTTTCTATAATTCGAAAGGTATTTTACCCTCATGGCTTAGTTAAATTAGACCACAAAAGACCTAAAATCTCAAACAGGCTACATCCCTGATTCTGCTGTTATAATGTCTAAATAAACTATGTTTGATTTTTCCACAACTAAATAAGTTACTTCATTTTCATTATCAATTTAAATTAATAAATAACCGTATATTAAAGCAATTGATTAAAAGTTTTTCTATGTGCTATGAATGACTTTAAAGCATAACAATTTCATATCCAGAGCACAAGGAAAAAATTGAGCACAGAAATATTGCTACTATGATGTCTACCATCATGGAATTAGAGAAAAATATGTCATGTGTAAATTTGCTATTTAAATAGTGATTCTTCTGTTATCAAGGTAACTAAATATAAATTGTGTAACAGTTCTTGGCTTGTAGCTGCTAAGCTTATGATAATATCTTCAGTATGTCATTGAGAACTTATTTTTTCTTTTCTGAAAATCCACAGATCTTTTAGTTTAACCCCAGAAAAAAAATGATATATTTGACATCTATTCTGTTTTGTATCTAATAACTTAAACTCATTATCACGATAGGCATTCAATCCATTAAAAAACTCACGGAAAAATAGGATTTCCATTGGGACCTGGGACTGGAAAAGCAGTTTTAGAAATAATATATATAATAATCACAATAACACATATACTTATACATGTACCGATGAACGCCTTTAACATGGCTTTCAGAGAGGCCTTATATCTGGCTGGAGCAAAGGTAGATAATAATGGAGCACATAGAGTAATAGTAAACAATATAGAAATAGACGTATTAATCAATAAAATATCACCAAATTTACTAAAAGGCTGAATAACTGTTTGTGTTAACGGGATTGCAGCGATTATTGTTGTAATGGCACTACTTATTATAGCCACCCCAATATGACGTAATGCGTAGATTGTTCTTTCTTTTCGTAACTCCTTATTTTTCTGAAATATCAAAGAAAAAGAATTTTTTCAAAGAAACCAATCTTTCAATTTCAAGATTTATGGATTTGTTAAATTGTATTTTCAAGAATATCAGAAACAAGAATTTAAATCAGCCTTTTCACAACATTCAACAGCTTTCACGCAATAGCCATTAAGGTTTATTAGTCCATACTTGTCTAATTCATCCATCCAATATAATTAATGCAAGATACATCAACTTCATTGAAATTTAGTTTCATGTGTTGAATATTACTAAGAGAGTCTTATTCCTTTCTCCAAGTTTCTCATATATCATTTTCTTACAAATTTTAATCTCTTAATAAACTGACCAAATCAAAAAGTAATTAGGGGACTCAACAAGAAACTAATTAAACAAATCAGACATGTGGTTGCAATAATACAAAACCAGCCTAGTACAAACCATACTTACTCTGCCTTCCATTAGAACAGTCTTGCCTGCTATGATATAGCCTTCTACCAGATGAACACAATAATCCACAGAGGAACCGACCAAGATAGACAGTGAGATAGCCTCTATAGCTCCCATCTCCCAACCAGCCATATAAAATATTCCTACCACACAACATATCATTGCTGAAAACAGAAAAATAAATTTCTTGAATTTAATTTGCTGAGATGCTGTTGCATATAAGAGCATTACAAGTGTCATGTAATTATTCCAGCTCACTTTTGTCATACAAGAGTTATCCACCTTGTACTATTGGTGTTCTAGAGCAGTTTTGCGTGGTTATAATACACAATTGTCGTGTCAATGTAGCTAGCTCAGCATAACATAATTTTCTGTGATATAGAATCAGAACGCTCTTAAGATGTAGATATATTTCTCAATCATGTGACATTTTGACTGATAGGTAGCGATAGGTTAAGTAAAACTGTTTCGCTGCCTCCACCCATTTCTTTGTAACGAAAATGTTATTTAATATGATCTAACTAATAAAGTCCATCAAATATAAATATTGAATTTAGTTTAACATTGTTAAGTGATGATTTGGGACGTGCTGCAGCAACGTCCGCGCGGATAGGGACGAAGAGTAAAAAAAAAACATTAACTTTAATGATGAGCCATTAGTATGATAAGCACAGATGATTGGACAATATAAAGTAAATAATCTGATGCTCGACATCGGTGATTCACCACAATATTGTCAAGAGGCTTATTAGGTCAATATTGTTACAAACATTACCATTATATTCTGAACAATCCTACTCACCAATGATAGTAAAAGCCACTATTGACAACAGTACAACATGACCAGTGAATATAGCCACGGCTATAATACAGATAACTAACGATAAAACTAAACCATATATAGCACTGTATACTGCTACTATTTCTATCATAACCTGTAAAAGATTTAGACTTATAAAATGATCTCAAAAATGCCCTTTCTGTTGTATATAGAACGAGAGAAAGACACTTAGCAATGTTTATAGTTTAAATCAAAGTTATAGCACGTTTTACTACATAGAAGCTCTTTATTATACTGTTTCTGTTTCATAACCTATAATATAACACATTACATAAAATATATCATCACATCTTTATCATTATAGCTTCAAAATTGTATTTACATGGCTCTGAATAAATTTTGTTCTAAAAATTAGGCAGATGTTTTGCATTCATGAAAATTATGCAGGCATAAAATAATACAAGAGTTGAACCAAAGGATGCTGTGACTTTAATTCGTCAATTCTGACTTGAAATCAATATAAGGCACATTCAATCACTATTTTATGCTATGGCTTTGATTTATTTATCATTTTATACATGTGATAAGTTTGCCAACTAAGTATCCCATTGGAACAGTCCACATAGCAAATATTGTATATTTGGGATATTTTTTCATCTGTATAAAATTTACAAGAATAATTATTTTTTCTGAAAAAATATGCTCTTCACTTTATTCAGGCACAGTATCATCAATGTGTCGTCACATCAAATCTTACCTTTTTCCAAAACTCTGACGTCTGGTAAATATCTCGTAATGGTGAGTCAGCATCCAATATATCAGTTTTTATCTTTTCTATAAATCTATCCCACTCTAAATATTTCTGGTAAGCCTTGAAGTAGGAATCCCCTTTAGATGTGGTCTGAAATTACCAGGATGAATTGGTATGAATGTAATGATGGTAATTCTCTTTGGAGGAGTCCACTACTATTATATATTTACTCTTGATTTTGCCATGCTTTCCACAAGATTTTGATTAACGGAATTGATCTGCTTGTATTTCATGATGTTGATCTAAATAGTAGTGGCGGGTGTCGAGCGAAGCAGACCATGCTTCCTCTTTTCAAAACACCTGATGGTACTTCTCTTTGGAGGATTCTTCTACTATAATATTTTACTCTTGATTTTGCCATGCTTTGGACTAGATTTTGATTAATGGAATTGCAATGCCTGTACTGAATTTTATTTTTTGCTTGTACAGATTTTTATTTTTATATTAAAATGGTCATGGTGCGATGTACACAGATCTAAATTATCTGGGAATAGCAAAACAGAGAATGTAATGATGTTAATAGTTTGTTATGTTACTTAGCAGTCAATAATCTTAACACAGAAATTTAAATCTGATTTCACACCCAAATATGAAAAGTTCAAATCAACAATTTCAATGCTGCATAATCTTTACGGCAGTCAGTCATATCAACATTCCAGTTGTATTATTTTATATTATGCAAAATTTTATGATATGAAATATTTCATTTCACTGTCAAGTCAAAAATAGTTAAAAAGAGGATAAAGAGTACATTCTAATTATGAAAACCACATTGTTGATAAATAAGATAGAATTTATTATGTATGCTATAAATCTTTAAGTACAGCAGTCCTCAAAAGATGGTTCTAATTACATATTTTAAATAATAATATGTATGGTTTTTGTCAATTTACACTAGTAGCAGGATCACAAAACATGAGAAACTGTTTTACCTTCATAGGTTGGACATGCAAAATAGTCTACAACTCACCGATTCAAAGGCGAATGCAATCCATTTTAATGTACGATTAACGTTCAATCCACCAAGGGCGTGATCTAAATGTTGATGATGGTAGGATTCTAAACTCTGGGGTAAGTTACGACATTCTGGTATCATATCTATAAAACGTTGCATTTGATACGGTACTTCTGAAAAATAGAAAAGTAAAATTTTGATCTTTATAGCAATATTATGCTGTTAATATATTCATTCAAGGGTAAAATTTTTGAAATTTTAACTCTTAAAGATCGAAATAAAAAACTGAACAAGCAATACAAAAGCAAGAAATAAAAATAACAAAACTAGAATAACGCACCAGACCTTCATCACTGACAGGGGAAAACATCAAGAGATGATTTCTTGTGGAAAAAGTTCTAAGAATTCAAATGTTTATTGTTGCCTGAATAATATTCTAGAAATATTAGCTGTGTTCCACCTATAAAAAAACTGCAATGTTCTCGCCAACATTAGAACAGATAGTAGTTTTGCAGTTATATCAAAATATGGAAACACAAATGTAACTTTAATTTATATCTTTGTGGAGCTAACATTTTTCACAATTTATTGTATTAATTAATTTACTGAACCTCCCTGACTCATCAATACATAACAATTTCTAAAAACTTACGAGCAGGAATACATTGAGCACTGCCATTTTGAACCAGGTGATGATTTTGAGCTATCCGGTGACAGATTGTACATAAATCTGATAGGATTTTCTTTGTTTTGTCTGATTGTAGATTATTCATACTAAAAGCTTCTGGTAGTTCATCATTATACATTACAGTACCCTAAAACATGGAGAAATATTTGTTTAGACAAAGCTTCTTTTTTTGAATTTCAAAATAATTTCAAAATACTCACAAAAATACTTAATATTTTATCATGGATAAAAGGGATATAAAGTTAGAAAGACTTGAAACTGAGGTTTAATGAGATTTTAAAACTTTTTTTTGTGTTTCGAGGACACTGATAGCATCAAGTTTGTTCCATTCCATTTTCAGTCAGATGTCTATGTTTCTAGGAATTCCACTAAAACTAAGCTCTCATAAAGTCATCATCACAAATGCTCTTAGATGTAATTAGAAGCTTTTGTAATATTGTGGTAAAAAAGAAGTGCTTGTATAATCACACAAAATAAAGCACAACTGTATTCACCTTATCTTCATTAATGACATGTCCAGTTCTGACTTTAGGCAACATCAATTCTTTAATACCAAATACAACATACACTGTGGTACCAGACTGAATTCTGGGTCTATCTTTAACATTGTTACAACTATTATTTTTACAGGCATTAAATCCTTCTTTCACAGGCTTGGCAGTATCTCTTTCTGCAGGCTTCCATTTTGGACGGTTAGGGTATACTGGTCGTGGTGTTGGGTGGTGTCTCATTTCATGATGTAACGTGACTGAAATCAAAATAAATTTTTCATGAATGAATTTTTTTCAAGAATCAAAATAATTCTCAAAGAGTGAGTTTGGCATTATTGAAACATAAACGATTGCATTGCTGGGTTTCAAGAAAAACATGCGAAATAATAAACAAGGTACTAACGATCCGAATCTATGCCAGACACATATCCATCATGTGTTCATTAATAATTTAATAGTAAACTGTAACTCTTACAATAATAAATTTTACATGTATCAGGATTAGATTCAATACATGAGGACATGGTCCTGTCTAACATTCAGCTCATACAATGGGGCAATACAATGAATAATATGAAAAAATGGTAAGTTGTTAATTTCGACCACCCTCAAACGTTTTAATAATTTACTGCATGTGTTGACAATTTGAATCATCACCAGCAATTATGCAATTATATTGGATATCAAGTAGCACAATTATTTCACTTGAGCGTAAATCAACAGACCTTTCTGAGTGGTTGTTTTAAGAGTGGTGGTAGGTTCTGTGGTAGGGCTTGCAGTGGTATGTGGTACAGCTGTGTTTTCCTCTGTGGTAGATAGTGTGGTAGTTTGTGGTAAAGTCTGTGGTTTCTGTGGCAATGTGGCATGATTAAATATCGGAGGTAGGAGGGCATTATGCTTGGGCTGACTAACTTTAGGTTTGGAGGAGGGATATCGGCTCTGGTAAATAAAAAGGAAAAGTCTTTATCACAATCAGAATGAGAATCAAAAGAGAATTTGAAAAAACTTCAATTTTTTTAATGTTTGAGATAAATGATTGATCTAAAGGAATGGAAAGCACTCAATGGCATTGTAGAGGTTACTGTGCCTTTCTAAATCGTGACATGCCTTTTTTGTACTTTCAGGATTTTATAAGGTCTCTAGTGCAACACAATGTCCATAAAGCTAAAAAAAAAACAATGAAAAGTCCAGCTTAATTAATGATTATCTCGTATTTTCAACTTAAAATTTCAAAACTAATACAAAACATCCCCTACTGTTACTAACTGACAGTACTTACAATATAAAGACCAGAACATTCCCTACTGTTACTGACTGACAGTACTTACAATATAAAGACCAGAACATTCCCTACTGTTACTGACTGACAGTACTTACAATATAAAGACCAGAACATTCCCTACTGTTACTGACTGACAGTACTTACCATATAAAAACCAGAACATCCCCTACTGTTACTAACTGACAGTACTTACCATATAAAGACCAGAGCATTCCCTACTGTTACTGACTGACAGTACTTACAATATAAAGACCAGAACATTCCCTACTGTTACTGACTGACAGTACATACAATATAAAGACCAGAACATCCCCTACTGTTACTGACAGTACTTACCATATAAAGACCAGAACATCCCCTACTGTTACTGACAGTACTTACCATATAAAGACCAGAGCATTCCCTACTGTTACTAACTGACAGTACTTACAATATAAAGACCAGAACATTTCCTACTGTAACTAACTGACAGTACTTACCATATAAAGACCAGAGCATTCCCTACTGTTACTGACTGACAGTACTTACAATATAAAGACCAGAACATCCCCTACTGTTACTGACTGACAGTACTTACGATATAAAGACCAGAACATTCCCTACTGTTACTAACTGACAGTACTTACCATATAAAGACCAGAACATCCCCTACTGTTACTAACTGACAGTACTTACAATATAAAGACCAGAGCATTCCCTACTGTTACTAACTGACAGTACTTACCATATAAAGACCAGAACATTCCCTATTGTTACTAACTGACAGTACTTACAATATAAAGACCATAATATCCCCTACTGTTACTAACTGACAGTACTTATAACATAAAGACCAGAACATCCCCTACTGTTACTGACAGTACTTACCATATAAAGACCAGAACATCCCCTACTGTTACTAACAGTTCTTACCATATAAAGACCAGAACATTCCCTACTGTTACTGACAGTTCTTACCATATAAAGACCAGAACATTCCCTACTGTTACTGACTGACAGTACTTACCCTATAAAGACCAGAACATTCCCTACTGTTACTAACTGTCAGTACTTACCATATAAAGACCAGAACATTCCCTACTGTTACTAACTGACAGTACTTACAATATAAAGACCAGAACATCCCCTACTGTTACTTACTGACAGTACTTACCATATAAAGACCAGAACATCCCCTACTGTTACTAACTGACAGTACTTACCCTATAAAGACCAGAACATCCCCTACTGTTACTTACTGACAGTACTTACCCTATAAAGACCAGAACATCCCCTACTGTTACTAACTGACAGTACTTACCCTATAAAGACCAGAACATTCCCTACTGTTACTAACTGACAGTACTTACCATATAAAGACCAGAACATTCCCTACTGTTACTAACTGACAGTACTTGCAATATAAAGACCAGAACATCCCCTACTGTTACTGACTGACAGTACTTATCATATAAAGACCCGAACATTCCCATCTGTTACTAACTGACAGTACTTACCATATAAAGACCAGAACATCGATCACACCGCAGATTATCTAAGATACTAAAATTAGCCTTCAGATCTAACAGTTGTTGAAGATTGGTATCTGGATGAAACAGTTGTGGTGGATGAGAGGCCGGTTGGAGTTGCGATAACAACCCAATTGATGTCATAAGTATACACAAATGAACACCTGAAATGGACAAAAGACATATTGCCTTATTTCAAACAGTGAAAAATTTTGGATAAACTTTAACAATTTCAAATCTTTTTAGAGCTCCACTAAATCTAGGCCGGCAAATAAAGCTCTAAATGTTGTACAGGTTAAAGGGGAGTAATATATGACTAACTTAAAAAAAAAAGAATTGTGTTAATCTTTCTCTTGTGCACACAGATATCAATTTCCAAATTATCCTTGGTTTTCCATTAAATTTTATCAAGGAAGTAATACTTTCTTAATTTTTTTCTCTACTCAGTTATTTGAACCATCACATTCAGTTTGAACACTGCTTCTAGACTTACATAAAGATATTTGAAATTATCTCTTCACCACTAAAGACAACTTGAAATGATCAATTTTAGCCATACATCGTATGAAGGACCAACATCCAACATCATTACTGAACAAGTTCTATTCTCAATCAATTAACAATTCAATCCTACGTACCAATAATGATCCACTTTCCCTTGATGTGAGTTATAACTGGAGCTATATAGTTTGACAGGAACTTGAGGATGTATTTCCCTATGTTAAAGCCTGGCATCGTGGATGTATTTGGTGTGTGTTGTGGTGTTTCGAACACTGGATCAAGTACTATCATAGGTTCATCATTACCAGTTTCAGTATTAAATGTGGCTGTAAAAATAATCTTCATTACATCTTCTATTCACTTGACATTTGTTTAAATTCAATCACATGCCAACAGGAAAATGTTTTAGAAAACAATCTCTTTAAGTCGCTTCAAAGAAATAACTGTTGACTTACAGTTATGAGTATTGGTACTGTTCACATCTCCACAGTCTGTTTTGCTCTCTCCCACAGTCCCCTATGTACACCCCTACCCGTCATGTCCAAACCACGCCCCTATTCGTCTCACTTCTTAATAATACCATGTCAAAACCCTTATTCAGGATGACCCCTACCTAAATCCCCAGGGTTCTTACCTGTAGGGTCATCATCTATTTGTAACATAGGTACATCTATACTACCAGAGGCTGAGATACTAGAGCTATGGGTACTGGTACTGCCATCACTTTCACAGTCTGTTGTTTTCCCTTTACATCTGTAATAACCATATAAAACACAAGCCATTATATATAAAATTTTTGAAACAAAATGTTTAATCTGTAATGCCCATTTATAGCTGGAAGCAAATAGAAGCTGAACCAATTGATAGAAAGAGTTGATTGCATCAAGAGCGTTCACAAACCATGAAATATATGTCAAGAGTTTATATCACTGTTTTAATGTTTTTAACAAAAGCTTTCTTTCAAAAGATTTACAATCCAAAAAATATTTCTGATAAAATAAAATACCTACCCTCTGTAACATCGGAGTTCGCATCTAGAGAAGAGTCTCTGCCACAAATACAGAGTAGGTGGCATAACAATAAACACAGTTATCCAACACGAACATACAATTAAAGACATGAATAACCCAAACTCATAGACGGCAGGAATCTACAACAAATATCAACAAATAAATGACAAGGTAAGCTAATACTAAGTTTTTAAATAAGGGTCATTTTGTTAGAGTAATGAATGATCAATAAAGTCATGCTATGCGATCTTCAGACAACCTAATTTTCAGCCTGTGTTTTTACTGAAGTTAGACAAGTAGAACTTATTCTAATGTCTACACTTTGAGACCAGTTCGGAACATTTGTTCAAAGAAACATCAAATAATTATTATATTACTTGGTGAGGTAATTCTAAGTTTTTATTTAAAGGTCATTTTTTTAGATTAATGAATAATGATCAACAAATTCATAGACAGCAGGAATCTAAAGCAAATCTAAAATAAAATATTTGGTATGGTAATACTAAGTATTGAAATAAGGGCCAATTTGTAAGGATTCCTCCTGAACTATAACAAGAGGGATAGCAGTTAATTGTACCTGAACCAAACGACTGGAGACAACTGCCACATTTCAGGTGCCAAATGCTACCACTGTACTTGCAAAATTTCCTATAATAAACTTTATATAAATCAAGGCCAGGAAAAAGGACGTAAAATTTTTACTTTATTTCATTGAACTTACCGAAGAGGCTATATTAGCGGCAAAGGCTGCTGCAGTAGTAAATGAAGTAAAAAAAGTAGCGACACCGGCAGTACGAAGAGTATAAAATATACGAGAGGTTAATTCAGAGCGATGATTTGATTGGTGATAAATATTTATAAATACAAACACGTCATCTACACCTGGAATTGAGAATAAAGATAAATCAATAAAATACAAAAAGATTTCTCTTTAAAGGGATTGTCAGGACATCAGGAAGACTTCTCGCAGTGAGTAGATCGTATTCAAAGACAAAAATCTAATAATAGCCTCGTCATAGTACACTTAGTTCTTGTGAAATAGCAAGGCCCACAGAGTACAGACGTTTGACTGAAAATAGGAATGGTGCAAATCGCTGCTATCAGTGTTCGTAATACAATGTTCAAAGTATGATATTAAGTAATTCTGGAATAACAGAACCTACAGGCATTGGACAGGAGGTCAGAAAACTCAGAATGGTGCCAGAAAAACTTTAAATAATGTGTGGTCAAATTGGCTGTCGTCACAACAAGAGATCAAAGATGTGAATCTGCATCATATTCTGCTGTTGCTAATTACTCTTAGAGTTACCACTCAATTCAGCACTAAACACGAGTTTCTGGTAGTTATCACCAATCTGTGCTCAAGTTTGCAACATCAAAACAAGAGATTATATGTAGGAATCAGCATCAAATTCTGCCGTCACCACATGACTCAGCACTACAACCGTTTCTTTAACTCCACCCTCGTCTAAGCCAGACCTGTGCAACCTTTCTGCAACGGCGAGCCTCATATAGGGGATGCGAATTGGCCGTGGGCCACATAACCAACCATCAATGAATCGTGGAATTAACAACGAGAAATGTGCAATTTTTTACTTATTCAATAACGTATTTCAATGTGCATTGAAAATAACAGACATATTTGACGTAAAATCACCGTTTCACACGAGGTCAGACCTCGTTAACGATTTGATTGGTTAGATTCATTAGACGTCATACTTTGATATAACAGCGCGGATATAACAGGTTTCGATATCAGAATAGGCAGAGACAATCTGCGGGCCACACCGACAGTGACAAGAGCAAACGAAGTATTTGCTTGCGACCGCATTTCACTCAAATTTTACATGATGCCGCACGCTGCAGCTGGCCCGCGGGTCGTAGGTTGAACAGGCCTGGTCTAAGCAAAACACTTACCTATGCCAATAATAACGAAGGCTGCAGCTCCATTTAATATTCCTAGAGCGTTAATCTTGAACACAACACGATAAAAAAAGAAGGCAACAGGAAAACTTAGTAGGATACTCCAGATTCCACAGACAGTCAGCCAGGGTGAGAAGGAGGTCAAAATAAACATTATTATGAATATAGACCCTAGAGAATAAGCTGCCATTGTGATGTCACCCCAAAATGTTGAGTCTATTTCATAATCAAACAGTTCATTACCACCGTACAAAACTTGCACTTTACTGAAATATACAAATTTTATGAATAATGATCTTAAGACCACCTATCTTACACCCTCACACCATAACAATCAACAGTTGTGTATGGTTGCAAATAAGAAGACGTATGTTAGATGTATGTTACGTTTGGAACTCATGGCCATTTTCATAATTCCCAACAATGTGCAACTGGTAATCGCTATGGTGTGAGGGCACCTTTGTATGATCATTTTTATATATTTCTCATTAATGGAGACTCTTTAGAAAGACAAATAGCTTTTTGCTTTGACTGAAATATGCAGATGTTAGTCTTGTGTTAGTTGGATAATTCATAAAAAGCTGTGTCCAATTGTCAAATCCTCTCAATTGCAATTCAAAATTTAAAAATTGATGAATGAATATCCTTATTTGTTTACACAACTAACAGTAGGCTAGCTGTTCCATTTTAATGTAAAGCTACAAACAAAATACAATTTAGAGTGGTATATGGTACTCAAGGTTTGTCAGCATGCCTCAAGAAACTCAAGTGGTCTCAAGCTAGATTGGATAGCTTGTGTTGGCAGTATTGGAAGATAGATAATAATTAAATAAATCTCTTACTCATTTGAAGCCTTTGACAGTATATCAATATAAGTGATCTCAAAATTTTTGAATTTTTCTTTCTGTTCATGAGATTCACCACATTCATAATCTGGAAAGACAAAATATAAAAATGTACTGAAAGCATTCCATTATAATTCTAATAATTATGAAAGCTAATGTTTAATGCCACAGGCTTAATGACGACTAACTGAGCACCTCTTTAAAGAATAGATTTCTACAGGTGCCCTCACACTATAGTGATTATCAGTTGCTTATGGTTGCGAATAATGAAAGTGGTCATGAGTATTGAACACAACTCAGTTGCATGAGAGAACAAGAGTTGCATGGCCGCTAATCTTATTTGCAACAATAACCAAATGGTGATAGCTATGATGGGAGGGCACCTTTAGATAAAGGATAGTCTGAATCAATCTGCTTTTCATTCAGATGTTTAAGACAGAAAAAAACTCTTGCTTGAAACGTACCTGGTAAAGGAAAACCAAACAAAACTTCAGTTCGTATCAATCTACTTTTAGGATAGGTCCTGTTTATTTTCTCATCCACAAAGTAATAAAATTCGTCATGATTCATAGCAAACTTTAATGCACTATCCACATCATCAATATGGGATCCCAAACCATCATAATGGATCTGGCCATTACTGTCTTGTGTTGGAAAAAAATAAGTCATTAACGAATTCAAAGGGGCACAACCCTTGTTTTCTTTAATAGCTGGATCTATAATGGCCATGTGAAGATCTTTAAAACAAAACTGTCCATATTGAGGATGGTTCATGATTTGCTTTTCAACCTTATGTACCAGTTCAAGTCTTTCTTTAGTAAACATATTTCTATCACTGCCTTTCGCTAGATAAACAAGATGCATTTTCCATCTTGGTACAGTCTGTACGCGCAGAGCACATCTTTTATTTATAGATCGTTTCTTTCGAGATTCATCTTCATTATGCATGGTCATTTTATTTAGGTCATCATTATGAGAAGTATCACGTTTGAGTCTATGTCTTGTCTGACTTTCAGCCATTTGCAATGCTCCATATCGTTTGTAGGCCTCATGATTTGGAATGCTGAAAGCATCAATGGACTTATCGATGACAGGTTGAGTCTCTAGTCCGAACCAACTGTACCAACCTAAAGACAGACTGACAGCCGACATGACAAATAACACAAGAACACATATTATAATATCACAATATTTACAATGTTTTTTACATCTACACCTCCGCGAACTCTCCTCCTGTCTTGAGCCGTCCGTCATCTGTGGCGACATGATTGACTGATCATCCAGTAACTCATTAACATCGACACCATCTTGTGTGGCCAATAAATCATAACCATTATATCTCCTCCTATCTGTTAACAGCAAACACGGCATGTTTCTTAACCTGCAAACACAATAACAAGTACATGTACATCATATCAAACTAAGATGGAGTAATCAAAGTAAGATGATTTTGACACAATAGCACAGAGCAACCATTGATATCACTTGGAACACCGTAAAGATTCACATTGTATTTGTATTTGTATGTTCACAATGATGGCAGCAAAGCCTTTGCTTGTAGCCTCTTCTTTTTTTCATCTAACAATGATGAGATGGAAATCAAGATTCACATTAGACATATTCCAAATAATGTTAATATAAATCTGACAAGGATGGTCATAGCTTGGAAATCAGACTGCTTTCTATGGTCGGAGTGTATCTGTGACTCGTGACATTGTGAGTCAATGTTGTCTGGCTGGTTAGGAAATAAGTTTGATTCTCAGTGTCTGCAATATTTGTTGTGACTTACAGATCAGTAAAAAGAAACTGAAAACTTATCTTTAGTAGATGTAAATAAATAAAAACAACCCTTTTTACTGAAATTTTCTGAAATTAACTAAAGAAAATCCTCCCACTAATTTTTTTAAAACTTATAATACTCTTTTCTTTTAGAACTGGTAACAAGAAAACTTTCATATTATAGACTTTTGTTTATTGTAGATTACTCGTGGTTGTTTTTTTTAACTTAATACTAACTATGCTAACTTCACCTTATCTTGTATTGAACATTTATCTCTTTATTTGTGATCTTGGCCAGTGCTTTACATAGAAGTTTTTAGGAACTTCTTCACTCTTAACACTATTTAATATGTTTGCAGAAACGTTTTATGTTACTGTTCTTTATGTTTTTTGGTAGGTCTCCTATGTATTTTAAAGGTTTTAACATAACATATGGAGTCTTTATAAGGTCCAACAACAAAACTAGTTAAAGCTGCTTAATTAACAATTTGTTTTTAATTAAACCTTTTAAAACAAATTCAGTATGATCAAGTAGATACATAGACGTCAATAGCATATTTTAGAAATATTTTTAGGAGTAATCTTCCACAGTCTTCAGAATGAAAATTTGCATACTGTCCCTTTAAAAGCAATATTGTTAGGTGTATAAATTATTAAATAAGTTGAGCCTTTGCCCTTATCAAACACACCAGAAAATATTCTGATAGAAATAATTGAAAAAAAAACTTAACAATTCTGGCTTAGAAAATATAATCAAAAGTTTAAATATTTTGGCTTAACTGAAATGAAATACTAGTTCCAACATCAACCAAATTAAATATTCTTTATATAGCTTATGTAATGTAACAAATCAAGGAAGTATCACATATATTTATATAAGATTTCTACTTGTCCATTGGCCCATATAAAAGTTGTTATAAAAACTTATATACCTATATATAACAGGAGAAATATGTATTCAAATTCATTAAAGTGTGACCAGCAAAACACTGTTAAAGGTAATGTCAAGACGGTTTTGTGGTCAACTTTACCTATATCAGTTTTCAACAAATTACATTGTAACTATAAACCATTGTTTATATGATATAACACTCATAGATTTTATTTAATCTAATTACATTGTAACTATAAACCATTGTTTATATGATATAACACTCATAGATTTTATTTAATTTAATTACATTGTAACTATAAACCATTGTTTATATGATATAACACTCATAGATTTTATTTAATCTAATTACATTGTAACTATAAACCATTGTTTATATGGTATAACACTCATAGATTTTATTTAATCTAATTACATTGTAACTATAAACCATTGTTTATATGATATAACACTCATAGATTTTATTTAATCTAATTACATTGTAACTATAAACCATTGTTTATATGATATAACACTCATAGATTTTATTTAATCTAATTACATTGTAACTATAAACCATTGTTTATATGATATAACACTCATAGATTTTATTTAATTTAATTACATTGTAACTATAAACCATTGTTTATATAACACTCATAGATTTTATTTAATTTAATTACATTGTAACTATAAACCATTGTTTATATGATATAACACTCATAGATTTTATTTTATCTAATTACATTGTAACTATAAACCATTGTTTATATGATATAACACTCATAGATTTTATTCAATCTAATTACATTGTAACTATAAACCATTGTTTAACACTCATAGATTTTATTTAATCTAATTACATATAACGCTATGATTTAGTATTTTTTTTTATTGTAGTTCTGATGCTAAAAATAGACATTACCTCATTCTAACTGAAGCAATCATATTTTAAGATTAATCTCTTTTCAATGTACGAGGATACTAGTAACATTCTAGTCCGGCAGTTGAAACAGTGAGCTGTGAACAATATTACTAATTAGCTTAGCTAAAAATTCCTATTTCTGACACTAAAATATGATTGATCAAACGGATGGCGAAAGTGTCCCTATAACTTAAGCCATGAAATAAATTCTGTATTCTATCATAACTATTTGGAAAATAGTGAAGTGTTATTCGGCCTGTTCCTAGGAACGACAGCGAGGCCGTGTAGTGGTCACGTCAATCAAACTCAATGATAAAAGTTTTACATTCTGTTTACAGAGATATAAACCGAATGCATGTGACCGCTGTTATCCAATCAAATTGCGTGATATCGTGTAAACGGAATCGTGATTTAATTATTTTATAAAGTCCTTTTACTTAAAAAATATCACACCAAACTCTGTTTCAACTCAAATATTAGAAAATCTGAAATTTAATGTACAGAAATGCAATTTAACATACTCGTCTCTGTAATAATAATTCTAGACTTACATAAGATTCACACTTCAACACATTCACTACAAGCTTGACTGAATTTTAACCAGTTAGTTAATTAAATTTAATTAATCAATTAACTGTGAGATTGATTAATCAACCACTTGTCACCGAAAACTGAATATAGGGGGTCTTTCCTTGTTTCTTTTTGTGAAACAAATATAGACAAAGATAACAGTAAAGGATAAAAAAAAATAAAGGAAATAATAAGATCAAGGGGACCACAGACTCCCATATAGGGGGAGATTTAAAAAAAAAATAACATATTAAAATTATGTCCTGTCTAATCATCATCATTAGTGGCAATTAGTAAATGTATTATCTATTAAAGTCCATGAATATTCATAATCATGACAACCCTATATGATTTTCTTCTTTGATTTTAATTCATTTTATATCAACAAGAAATCAAAACAATTTGTAAACACAATTTTAACACTGTACCAGTGCCTTCTGTTGAAAAGTGACTAGCTGCTTGTCAATAGTAGCTGATAGTAGCTTATCTCTAAAAAGAGGAAGTCTAGGATCTCAGTGTAGAATCTTGAATTTATTTCAATGGCTTGCCCTCATTTCGCCTGCACTGAATTAAATATTTTCATTGATATGTTTTCATTAATAAAGATAATGTAAATGAAATGAATGAGTTTTACGTCCCATTTTTCTGCACCATGTGGGCTAACAAATATAGAGTAAAGAGGTTTACTGTACTAAACTTTACATGTGAATCGGACACAGTTATACCATTGACTTACACCATTTCAATTTTCAGACAGATGTCTGTGGGTTTTGCAACTCCAATAAAACTAACCAGTCACAATGGGGCTTAGATAATACTGGATGAAAATTGGACTGATGCAAATAGAAGCCGAGATAAAAGCACAAAAAATTATCAGAAAACATTTTCCTAACCCCTTATAGAACCCTGAACTTATTTAAGTAGTTAAATCATATAACTTTTGTAATTTTAACTCCATAAATTCTTCACAATATTTTGTTAACAATAAACCATGCCATGTGGAAGAGGAAATTTAGCTATTTTTGCAGATTTTTCAAATGTCAAAGAAACTTTACAGACAAATACTATATTAATATGAGTCAATGAATTATGGAATGAAGACTTTTAAATATTTATGAAAGTCATCAAAGAACAATTATTGCATGCAGTAATTTATAGGTTTGAATTTTTATGAATAAAATACAAAATGTTTACATAATATTAGATAGCTTGCCTACCTGGTATAAAAGTAATATAATTATATTATAAGCTTTTAGTTCTATAGTTAGCTTTATTATAATATTAATTAGGTTGCATATATATTAGCTATACTCGCTTATGTTATTACATGACTAATCATGTTATTCTGATCTAAAACCTAATAGTAATATAGGACTACTCATTAACTTACAGACCTATATACATATATAGGCTTCAACGGTCAGGTCAGTTAGCTATTCAACTATTGTCAGTGAGTGAGCGATTAAATAACAATCTGGATCAATGCTTCAAAAACCCAATTCTTCGAAAAGTTTACATATATCTGTTATAAATGAGCCAGCAAAACAATGGCTGTTCCAATTTCATGTTAGAATCAGCTGGCATTGGTGGCTGTTTTGCTTCCTGATTTATTACAAGAAATAAACAAATTAAACCAAATACTTCAACCCAAATATCAAATAATATCTTCCAAAATTCATTGACAACCATATAAGCGTACCTTTTTTATCCATATCTGAGAGATGTACCTAGAAGCACGATTCCTGTAACTCTTGGAACCATTTTGGATGTGATTTCATAAGGAATTTATAATGATCTACTCACCAGAGGATGTAAACAAAGGCCTGTCAAAGACATGCGCAACTATAATGACGTCATCTTTATCTTTACTTAGTCTTGGAAAAATTACTTGAATTCTTCTGAAATGTTGACCCTTTTCCCTCCACGCTTATTATAATAATTATGACGGAGATGCATACGAACAGTCGTCAGTAGAAAAGGGATTAGACAAAATTCATTAGTAACGATAAGTTGGACAAATGGTCTCATTGAATGGTTGTCCGACATGACATAGGAACGATTTGACTAACCGGAAACACGTGACTTTATTTTGGACTTTTCTACTTTCGTTTTATGTCATCGAGGAAACAATTTAATTCATGATTTATTACCTGTAGTTTATACCCTAAAGGTAAGTAATATTTAATGAAGTATATCCATCCATACTGTGAATTATGACAACATTTT